CCTGGCTCTGCCTCCCGAGTGCTGGGATTAAAGGCGTGCGCCACCACCGCCCGGCTTTGGATTTTTAAAAGGCTTTAGAAGGAGGGTTTCTGTTTTGTTTTTAAAGTGCTGACCATCATGCATGCTAGGCAAGCTTTCCATCACTGAGCTATATCCTCAATTTTTTTTTTCTTTTATACACTTTTTATTTTGAGACAGTCACTGAGTTGCCCAGGCTGGCCTTGAACTTCGTGACCCTGCTTCCTTACTATCTCAAGTAGTTGTGATTACAGGCCTGAAACACCAAGGCCAGTTCAGAATTTCATTATTAATTTTAATAATGTGCCTTCATCTAAGTATTACAGCTACCACATGCCAGTCGCCGTGGTAGATGCTAGGGTCATAAACACACGCACATGGTGTCCTCTGTGCTTAGAATCTCGGTGGAGCAGATAGATAGCAAACTAACAGCTGTGTGAGAACAACCCGTTGACTAAAGGGGAGCGGAAGGACCAAGGGTTGTGATGCAGCTCTGTCCTGTAGCTGTCCTGTGAATGTGAACCCGTCTCCTCTTCCCGCAGAGACTTTCTTCAGCTCGTGTGGGAGTTTACACAAACTGAGTGAAGAGCCGCAGATTCCCCCTCCGCTTCCTCCTCGGAAAAAAGTTGATCCTGAAACTTCAAACTCCAAGGTAGTCATCCGACCTGGGTTCGAGTTGTGAATCTCCAAAATCATACTTGTCTTTAGAGTATTTTTAGAGTGTGTCAATCATAATTTAACCATACTCTACAGATTTTCAACATTTAGGTTGTCATATTTGAAAAATACTTTAAGTAGTTGTTTGATAGATTTTTAAAAACTTCTTTAAAAAGTGGGAAAATTCAGATAATCAGAAGTACATTGTCTTTCTTGTACAGATTTGGGGTGGGGGAGAGTTTGGAATTCCTATTTGGAAGCTAAGGGCATGTCAGAATCTTCTGGAAAACTATACAAGTAGGTTGTTGAGCCCCAGGTTGTAGGGCAGCAGTTGGGCCTGGCACTTGGCTATGCCAAGCCATCCCCTAATGGGATTGTCGCTGCTGGCCTGGATCTCCTCAGAGACCCACTGATTCAAGCACCATGGAGGAAAATGGAAGTAGATGTTGGAAAATTGAGTAGAAGTTGGGTATTAAGTACTGTTGATACCATGTTCTTTGATTCCTGTAAAACTCTTCTTTTCATTGGCCTATTGCCATAAATAAGCTTTATAAATTTCTGAAATGTTGGAAACAAAGCAAGATGACATGGGGCTCTATGTTTTTAGATTTCAGTGAAACCATTCAAGTGTTAAACTGAGCCCCGAATTAAGCTGGAAGTAACTGAGTCAGGAACCTGATATTAACCACATTCATTTGATTTGGGCCTCTAGATTTAATTTGACACAGAAGAATTTTGCAGTCTTTTAAAATTAGCTTACACATTTTTCGAGAGACTAGACATGCCTTTTTTGTTTTGTTTAGGGAACTATGAAATCTGATGATGATCCTCCTGCTATTCCACCAAGACAGCCTCCTCCTCCAAAGGTAAAGCCAAGAGTTCCTGTCCCCACCAGTGCATTTGATGGGCCTGTGCACAGTCCACCTCCACCACCGCCAAGAGAGCCTCTTCCTGATACCCCCCCACCGGTTCCTCTTCGGCCTCCGGAACACTTTATAAACTGTCCGTTTAATCTGCAGCCACCTCCATTGGGCCACCCTCACAGAGACCCAGACTGGTTCAGAGACGTTAGGACGTGTCCAAATTCACCAAGCACTCCTCCCGGCACACCCTCTCCACGGGTGCCACGAAGAAGCCATTTGCTCAGTTCCAGTCACAACAACCTTGCTCATCCTCCAGCTCCTCCCGTTCCACCAAGGCAGAATTCAAGCCCTCACCTACCCAAACTGCCACCAAAGACTTACAAACGGGAGCTCTCACACCCGCCCTTGTACAGACTGCCTTTGCTCGAAAATGCAGAAACTCCTCAATGACCTTAGCCATGTGTAGTCATTGACACTGGAATAGTATTTGTAAAGATTTTTAATTTATTCAAAGAGGCATAGTATTTTAGTACTTTTTACAAATAATGCTCTTACAAAAATGCTACTGATCAAATAAGCTTTTAAGAATGAGAAAAATTGCCGGGCATGGTGGCCCACACCTTTAGTCCCAGCACTCGGGAAGCAGAGGCAGGTGGATTTCTGAGTTTGAGGCCAGCTCGGTCTATAGATCGAGTACCAGGACAGCCATGGCTACACATAGAAACCCTCTCTCAAAAAAACAAAACCAAGAAAAGAATTCTAAAACTTAAAATGCAAAAGCCCTTCACCATAACCCTCAGGTGAGGAGTAGCCTTGCCTTGTCTCAGCTCCTCAGTGCTGCCCAAAGGCCAGTATAATGAACTCCTGTTTGCACTGCAGACCCCGCTAAACTGTGGCTGCGGATGATACCGACTGCACTGAAAGGATAGTTCTCAAGGAAGTGCTCCAGGCTGAGTAGTAGACGCCTTCTTAAGGCGATGAATTCACAGATACAGGATGAACTGTGATGTTACTGGGTCGTCAACCCTCTCTGACCCTCTTCTAGGTTTTAACTTTGTTTGGTTTTTACAGCTAGTGAATAACACCTCCTGTTCTTAAACCTTTGATGCCATGTCTTAAATGCCAGTATTTGCTGCTGAAGACAAAAACAGAAAATAGAATGGAAATAATAGGATGCACTGTGTTTATTATTTTGTTAAAATTATAAACGATTCTACATAACCCGATTATAGACGAAAAGGGGCATGTATCTCATTAAGATGCTCCTTTAGTTCTGCAGTGTATGCTGTCTTTAGCTAATGATTTGCCTCTTGTTTGGGAAAACAAAGTTAATATGCCATGTATGTACAGTTTATTTATATTGTATATATTTAAAGACAATGCTAATAACCTATATAAATTTAAGTGACTTGAGGCCTATAATACAATCTGCTATTTTACTAATTTGTAAGTCAAGAACAAACGTTTCTTATGGCGTAGGAACCAACTGCCTTCACTTCAAAACGTATTAACTTTCTTTAATCTCATGTTAATTGAAATTTTTTAAAAGTTTTTCCAGATTGGTAATATTTAAACAAAATACTTAAAGCTTTATTAAAATTTGTAATCCGACAGGATAAAGCTTTTGTCATTTGGACACCCTCGTTCAAAGTGATCAGAGTGTGGTGCTGATCGTTCAGGAGCAATTGTAAAGTAGCCCAAAGCCACGGTGTTCTCTGCTGGTCTGTGGCCTTTTACTGTGCTTTGTATCAGAGTTCTAACAAGATTAATAAATCACCTCAGTCTTCATTTTTAAAAGATTTGCAATATTGTTTTTCATCACAAAGAACAAAAGGAAGCTGAGTACAGTGGTGCACGCCTGTGATCCCAGCATTTGAGAGATTGAGACTGAAGGATCTGGAGTTCAAGGCCAGACTCAGCTGCATAATGAGTTTGAAGCCTACTTGGGATGCAGGAGACCATGCAAAAACAAAACAAAACCCACAAAGCTGAAAGAAGAAAATCTAGAAGACTCTATCTATCTATCTATCTATCTATCTAATCTATATCATCTGTCTGTATCTATTATCTATCTATCAATCATCTATTTATCTCTCATCTGCCTCTTTATCACATTTGTGTGAGTATTTGTGTAGTATGCATACCACAGATCCAGTGTGAAAGTCAGGCCAAACCTGCAGGAGGCAGTTTTCTCCTTTGCTATGGGAGTCCTGGAACTCAGGCCCTTGGTCTTGCTGGCCATCTTTTGGCCCCAGGGCACGTAAAATTAGAGGATTAACTTTTCTTTACCACTGAAAGCAAGTAGCAAGTTCCCAGCCCATCTTTTTTTATGCACTCATTGGGAAAAAAATAGATGCACAGTAGGAGACTTCTTGAACATAACCATTTTTGATAGGACCTGGGAAGCTGCCTAGACCTGTAGCCAACAGCTCTGTGTGAGCCATTCTCCAGCCAGGAAAGAGCTCTTTCACTGGCTTTGCTTCTCAAAGAGCAGTAGCCAGTGGCAGCCAGCCTCGGCCTCGCCCAGGTAGCTCTTGCGGGCTCCTGCTGCCTTCCGGGCTTTGAGACTCACGCACGCACGCGCCGTGGGCAGCCGCTCGGCCGCTGGGCGGCGCGGGCCTTACGCGGGTGTGACGTCACCACGCGCCGCAGCCTGCGGCGGCGGCGGCAGCCATGGCGACCGCCCGGGAGCCGGCGGCGGAGGACCCGCTGTGGAGCTTTGTGCGGGTTCTGGAGAAGCGGGACGGGACGGTGCTTCGGCTGCAGCAGTACGGCTCCGGAGGCGTGGGCTGCGTGGTGTGGGACGCCGCCATCGTCCTCTCCAAGTACCTGGAGACGCCGGCGTTCTCCGGCGGCGGGGCCCACGCGCTGAGTCGCCGCTCGGTGCTGGAGCTGGGTTCGGGCACCGGGGCCGTGGGGCTGATGGCCGCCACCCTCGGGTAAGGGCTCTGACCCGGCGGGAAGCTGCGGGGCGCCCCGCGTCGGGTCCGCGGCGTGCAGCCCTGCGTGCGCCCGGGCCTCAATCGAGGTTGTCTTGCAGGGCAGATGTTGTAGTCACTGATCTGGAGGAGCTGCAAGACCTGCTGAAAATGAACATCAGCATGAACCAGCATCTCGTGACTGGGTCTGTTCAAGCCAAGGTACTGAAATGGTTTGTATGGCCTTTCAGCTTGTTTCAACATAACCGCTTTTGGTTGCTTTAGGTTGCATTTTGCTCAACGCCATAGTTTAATGTGAGGGAAACTCTCTGCTTCTCGTTGCTGAAATGCATTTAAATGGTTAAAAGCATCGGTTGAAGACATCCGTTTGATATTTTTAAGGGGGGAAGAATTAGAAGACGTGACTTCACCAGACTACATATTAATGGCTGACTGCATATACTATGAGGAGGTGAGTGTCCAGTGAGCTGGCTACTTCGTATGCCCCTAAGCCCACATTCACGTTGTGGCATCGCTGGGTGTGGGATATTTGTCGTTTAGATGATGAGGCAGGAAAGAGAAGACAGAGTCACCACGTATATACAATTCAGGAGAAGCATACAGGCCTGTGAATAGTGGCTGAGAAAACTTACATGCATTCCACCGGAGGCTTTTTGTAAAATTTTAAAAGGATTTCCCCATTTGGATATATTATGAAAAATTAAAATCAATCAATCCTTCCCTCCGTTTCTTTTCTCTCGCACCGACTGTCGCCATGACATTGAAAACTAAGATGCAAGTCAGACAGGGTGGCTCACACCTGGCATCCCAGAACATGGGAGGCCCAGGCAAGATGATGGCCAGGAGTGCCAGGCCAGCCTAGGCCACAGAGTGAACTCCCTCCGCGCCCCCACACCCCCCCCCCGAAAAAAAATTAGTGGCAAGATTTATTACACTTGTGGAATGATTTTTTTCTTTACATACCATTTTATACAATGGTGGGCAGTATTTAAGTTAATGACTGTTGAACCAGCTGATGTTCAAATTAAGGTCAGGAGGCTGAAGAGATGGCTCAGCAGTTAAGAGCACGTACTGTTCTTCCAGAGGACCCGAGTTCAATTCCCAGCACCCATGTCAGTCGGCTCACAGCGCCCCTGTAACTCCAGCTCCAGAGGGATCCAGTTCCTCTGGCTTCTGCAGGCACTAACACTTGTGCACATGCCCATACACAGAAACACACATTCACATAATTAAAATAATAAAAATAAATCTTAAACCAGTAGGGTCAGGCTTACTTTCGTAGGATATATTGTTGATTGTTTAAATACCGCATTAACTTAGGCTAAATGAAATGAGACTTGAGATTTTAATCTAGCTGGGCATGGTGGTACAACTCCTGTAATCTCAGCACTTGGGAGGCTGAAATAGAGGGGTCACTGCAAGTTCAGTGCTAACCTAGTCTGTATAATACACCCTTGTTCAAAACAGAGACAAAGTTAATTCTGCGTGTTTTTCTGTGAAAACAACAAGATCTAATCCTTGAGATTCTTTTTTTGGATCGGGGGTTGGGATAGAAATCAGAATAATTATTGATCAGTCAGCAATTGTTTACCAGTCTAGTTACAGAACATGGCTTTGTTGTGTTGATTCAGAATGGTTTGCTTATAGGGCAGTTGACCTCTTCGCCTCCTGACCCCCTTTGTATAATAGGAAATTCTTGAAGCAATACACTGAAAAATTGTACTTTTTTTTTTTTTAAATAGTCCTTGGAACCATTGCTGAAAACATTAAAAGATCTCAGTGGATCTGAAACTTGTATTATATGTTGTTATGAACAGCGTACAATGGGGAAAAATCCAGAAATTGAGAAAAAGTATTTTGAGGTGAGTATTGGGTTAGGTCCATCTTTGTAGCTGTCAGTGGTTGCTCTGGCAATTTCACTTGGGAAAACTTTCTCTTGATAAGAACTCAAGGAGAGGATCCTCCACAGCCCTCTGCACAGAACCCACTGTTCTCTGACCTTCCCTGTCCTGAGTTTTCTTTCTGTTCTCACTAGTCCATATTGTTCGACAGAACAGGGTCAGGGACTGGTCATGACAAGCGTGTCTTTTCTGAGACAGTTTTCAACACTGTTCAACACAAGACTGGCTCTGGAAGCTTATCAGTGATGTCTTATGATAGAAATGTGCAGGTGGTGAATTTTACTTCTGTGTTTTCCAATACATTTTTAGTACACATTTTACCTAGTTAGTGATTTTTAGGGTTTTGCTGTTGTTTATTTATTTTTAAAATTGTAAAAGGAGTGCCTATCTTGCCCATATCTGTCCTTCACTCCCCGAAGCAGTGACCTAGACCCTTTTATGGGCACAAATTCAACCCATTAAAAAGTGGCTCATTTTGAAGCTATCTGTATTATCCTGAAATTTGGCCTGCTGAAAGGACTCCTTTGGCTTATGACGCCCTCAGATAACATATGCTAAAATGAGTTCCATGTTTTCCATGAATATGAGAACATGTTACTGAACTTTTGAAATTATGTATAGTTAAAATAATTGGTATTTAGTTAAAACATGTCTAATGCATGAACAACAAGTTCTCAGCTCATGCATTTTCATCCACATAACTGCTCCAACATAAAGATACAGGACATCTCAAGACTTGAGAAGGCTCCCATGTTGCCCTTCCCAGTCAGCCATTCTCCAGAAGTGACCGTCATCTTGACTTCATCACCGTAAGTCTGTCCAAGTGACTGAGTGTAACGTATATGTCCTTGAAATTTACAGCTCCTCCAACTAGACTTTGACTTTGAGGAAATTCCCTTGGAGAAACATGATGAAGAATACCGAAGTGAGGACATTCATATTATATACATCAAAAGGAAAAAATCAGTAGGTGCATTCACAGTTCTTCACACTCAGAGATCTCACCAGCTGGTCCTTGTCTGTGGGCTAAGGTGCTGTCCAGTTCACCTCTACGTAGTGAAATAGCAGTGATGACTGAGTGGCCGCAAACCGTGGTGGCACCCAAGACTTCCGTCACCTGTCGTGCCTTGGGTTCTTGGTCACAACCAGAACTCAAGAAGTGGAAGGCTATGTATGCAGTTGGAGGCCAGGCTGGGCTACATAATGGGACCTTATCTCAAAAACTGTGTAAGGCCGGCTTTGTTTCTGCCCTGCAGGGGAAGGAGCCCTTGTACCTGACAGGCAAGCGTCTGCCACTGAGCTAAACCCCCAGTCTGCTGGGCCCCCTTAAAGCCCTTCTCAGCTGTAAATTAAACGGCTGTGGAACTGAGCGCCCATCCGCGGTTACTTTAAGATAATGAAATCCAGAAATGTTTATCTTGACCCATTTCAATCCTGGATTTGGTTGGCCTTATCTGTTGGGCCTGTGAGCAAGCTGCAGGTGATGACGAGAGCGTGACCAAAGAGACCTGTTCACCTCTGGCCGAGGATGAAAAGAGAGGGAGGAGCAGGGTCCAAAGCTTGTCCTCGGGCATGCCCAGAAGACCTGGCATTATACTTCACTTCTTATCATTTCTCTAAGGGCCTCATGTGAGGGACCAAGCCTTGACACACAGGCCTTGGAGGGGCATTTTCCAAATGACGGCATTAGACATGACCTCAGTCAAGCGATTGGCTCTCTGTAGCTTCCTTTTCTCTCTCTCTCTGACTGTTTGCTGTCTATAAGGATTCTAGCCATAGAGTTTTAGGGACCAGAAGTGGTGTTAAAATTCAGTCTAAGGAAAGGAGGAGGGTAAGAGGACTATAATTCAGGTTGGTTGGTGTTCATGTGGAGTGTGCTTAAAAAAGGGGGGGCAAAGAAAATACACTTTGTGCTTTAAGGAATTGCAGTGTTTGCTAAAGCCACTGTACTGTTTTAAAAGATTTTTTTTGAGGCATAAATATTTTTTATATTTCTGAATATAAAGGGTTGTTTTGATTTTACAAAGACCTATTTCCTTTTCAAATTGATATAATTCTCATTTCATAAAATTTACCCTTTTCAAAGCATACATCTTAGTGACTTAGTATATTCAGAGTTGTATAAAGCACTACTTTCTAATTTTAAGTGTTCTCCTCACCCAGAAAAGAAAGGCCGCTAGTCTTCACTGCATACTGCTCATTCTGTGTTCTTTACAAGATAATCTCACTGTGTGTCCTTTCCAGTCTCTCCTTTCGTTCAGCCAAGTGTTTCCGGGGTTCCTCCGTGTACCCTGCTTCACCTTATACTCCTTTCTGTGTGAGTCACATCCTTGTGTGTGGTTCTGGTCATCTTATCCACTCATTCATTCATCAGCTGATAACATTTCTCCCATTTGCCTCTTACCCGTAAGGAATAATGCTGCTGTGAACATTCTTTTTGGGGGGGAGGGGGCGGAGGGGGGGTTCCCGACACAGGGTTTCTCTGTAGCTTTGGAGCCTGTCCTGGACTAGCTCTGTAGACCAGGCTGGCCTCGAACTCACAGAGATCCACCTGCCTCTGCCTCCCGAGTGCTGGGATTACAGGCGTGT